CTATTAGTGCTGCTTGCAGGAGACTTATCCTCGTCTCCCTCCTCGCCCAGACCTTGGGTTAGAGCTAACACTCCCATAGAATTTGGGTTGTTCTTAATGCCTTTCTCTGAATTTTCCAACTCCAAGGCCAGCCTTTTCCTCACAGAGGGATCCACCTGCATATTCCCATGGCCTTTCTTCAATGGGCTGGATGCCATATCATGTACTTCTGGATCCACACTAGCTTTCCCGGTCCTCTGTTTCTGCTGGGAATATTCATTAGGCCTAGGATCACCACCTCGACCAAACACATCCTCCGACCGTGACTTATTTATACCATCTACATAGAGCCAAGCTCCAAACTTCTTATCTTTCTCCTCATGCACACTAGTACCGCATTCCTTGAAATCATGTCCAATTATTCCACACACACTGCAGAAGCACGCCAACTTCTCATAGCGCACCAAAAACACCTGTCCCTTTTGACCCCTAACAATACTGACATATTTTGTGAGGGGCTCGCGAATATCACGGCGAACCCTAATTCTGACGTAATCACCACGAGTATTTCCGTTTAATCTCATCTCCATGATTTCCCCAGAATTTTTGAGTAACGCCTCTACTATACCTCTCTTGCAGAATCCGTCTGGGAGTTTATGGATCTGCAGCCAAATTGGCATATACACCATCGGCACCTCCTCTGCCCTTTGTAAACCCATCGTATTGGCACGTCAGGACAATCCAGTTCCTGAAAAGCCATGGACCTTGCTCGAGTATGCGCTCCCAATCTCCCAGGCACGATGCTTGCACCACAAATAGATTTGGCCCGACTGGTCGAAACCTCGTATTCCACGTCGCCCGCATATCCTTGTAGAAGGCTGCCTGGCTGAAGCTTTTCTCCGTATGAACCCTAGCAAGGACCAACCATCTCACGCTCTCGTTGATCACAGGATCGTCCTCCTCAATTACCAGATCATCAAAGTCTGCGTCGTCCAGATTGAGTTGCTCTAGGAAATCGCCTAGATCCGGCCTACCGGCGGCGCCGCCACCACCGCTGGTTCTTGACTGGGCGTCTGCTGCGTCTTCCATCGCTTCCCGGGGTAGGGCACGGGGTGCGAACTAGAGAACCTCACGCAAGGGATCGGCTCTTGGATCGAAGCTGTGGACTCGCTGGCGATGCGATCGCCAGAGAGGAGACAAAACCCTAGCCGCGGCTTAGGGGAAAAAGCAATAATAGTTGTCACTTTCAGGACAGGAGCTACCTGACTGAGCTGCTCCTTACTTTGTGTTTTCTTACATGTTCATATTCTACGTGTCGATGTTTATGTTAGTAGTAGTGGGTGTGCATGTTGTATATAGTATCATGGTTTGAATTCTTACTATTTGGGCTGGAGCCATCTATTAGGTCATGTGATATTTTGTATGTCAACTTCATGTACTAGCTACCAGAACTGATTGTGTTGTGCATACGCCTATAAGATCATGATGCGTTCGGCTTTCGTATCTGGCTGTGTGTCTGTGATAACTATATAAGTTGGTATTAAGCGTTGAGAATGCACAGAGCCCAAACATACTGTGTTTCTCATATTTCAAAAATAGATATTCAAAATGACTTGCCAAATCTCCAACCATTGTGAAATTATGCGTTGATAAAGGAGCCTAGATAGCATCATCCGTCAAAAGTTGATAATAGGTAAACCAAGACGACGACTAAGCAAAAGCAACTGAAACAAAGTGCAATTCAGACCCGTAGGAACGTGGGCAGCACGGTAAGATTCCTTCGTTTGGTCCATTAATTTGGCTTGCATGTGCACACGCCATGCACGCTCGTCGTCAACCGTGGGGTCTTCACGCGGTCTCCGCTGCACTTTATACTCGCGCGGCTCTATTAATTTACAAAGGGAGTAATAATTAATTAAAGCAACGAGAAGCAGATAAAGACTTGCCGCTACGCGTGCACGCTGCGTCTCGCCGGCAGGGGCAGCAACGTACCTCTCCCAAGCTCCATGGAGCAGAAAGCAACATGTAAAGCACCACCAGCAAAGACACACGAGCTAGGGGCATCAATCTTTAAGCTTCTCCTGGGTCGACGACATGGTTTCATCACTCCTTTGTGGATTCTTCATCAGGTAGCTCAGAGAAGCACGACCGCCATGCTCGGCATCAGCACGGGCTTCAGTCCAGGATGGATGACCCGAAACCACCGCAAGATCAGTCTTGTTCCAGTTCCATTGGCGATCTCAGTTTCCTGAGCATTAACCCCCTCAACAAGACAGCTTTTTCCCCAAGTGGTTCCTTCAGGGGTTTTGCCCAGTCCCTCAGATATCCTACTACGAGATGCCACACCTGTTTCATAGAAACACATGTACATCTGTTAGAAACCAATGCATTTCTGCAATTCCATAGTCCCCACAGGACAGCAGAAGAAACAAAGTTTAAGTGGGAGTTTTTCTTATTGCAAAACCAATGGACACCAAATATAAGCTCAACATCATCCCAAATGGCTTTTGCAACAATACACTCAAAGAACAAATGCTACACCGACTCAGTTTCAGTAGTGTCTACACTCGAGAGATTTTGCCATGCCCCTCCTCCTCAAGTTATCACAGGCCATCACTTTGTTCTGGGATAGAAGCCACAGGAAACCTTGCATCTTGAGGGAAATTTTAATTTGTCATACAGCAGGCAACACGACAGGTTTGGAAACCTCTGAAGTTTACTCATACAGTGATTTTTTTTTCGATGATCACTCATACAGTGATTTGGAGGAAGACACTCCTTTAGACCTGGCAATGAATTTTAATCCAGCCACATGGTAATGAGATTATCAGTGAATGTCCCCCTAGCTCAACGACATGTGCGCATGTGATGGATAAGGCATGCTGATGGAGGCAGGCGCCATGCATGGCACAAACAAAAGCGATCAGCAGTAAAATATGTGCAGCACTTTGGCATGCTTTTCTGTAAAGCACGTCCAGTATTATATATTGCAGGGATTAACTAATCGACTCACCTACCACGACAGGCAACGGCAGTGTGGTGGTACCATGGCATATGGCAATCCGTAGCATCTGGGTTTCATTCACTGTTGCATAGATAATCAGACAATCAGTCGTCGCCGCTGAGAAGCTCCCGAGCCCGTCCAAGCAATGGCCAACGGACGAGGGAGAGAGCACTGCATCCAGATGCCACCGCCTCATTACGGCGCCAGACGAGTAGGCAAGGCCGCTACTCCCACCCCACCGGAAATGGGGCTGAATCGTTTTGTTCGCTTCGTCGCGCTGATCGAGAGGCTTGGCAATGCCTTGGGCACGCTGGCCTTCACCTGGGCCACCATCGTCCTGCTCGGAGGCTACTCCAAGGACCTCAAATACGAAGATGATTTTTGGTATGCGACAACGATAGTATTCCTCGAAGCTACAAGGTATGACGAGTCAGTTTTTGTGAACATACGTACATCCATGAATAGGAACTTCTTCGCTGATTGTACATTTTTACAAAAATTCTGGAAATTACGTACCATAAAGCGTTAATTTAGGAACATGTGTTGGCAGAAAAGAGAATGGATGTTCATACCTTAGCGCAAGTACTGCTTAGTGCAATATGGCTAGCAGGATATGAGGTTTGGCTGATTGATTGCTAGCCCCATGGTCACCCAACTGCATCGATGAGCTTTGTTAAGATCTTTTTCTCTCTCCAATTTGTGTACATGTACCTAAATTAACACTTAGTACCATCAATTTTTTTTTTTTTGAGAAGTGTACAATCTCACGATTGAAATTAGCCTTTCCTCAATTATGAACTTCCAGTTAGACTTTCCCCAGTTAAATCATGGAAACTTATATATAGACAACATGTGAGTAGTAAACACCAAGCTAGGCTTAGCACAGTTAGGCTCCGATTTAACAAGAACCCAGCGTTGTTATGATCTACTAGAATCATGTCTATCTTTCTTAAATAAACACTGGAGTATGATCTGGATACTCAGCATCTTGGGTTTGTGATTTATATAATGTCCATATATCATTTACTGACACCATATATGCATACTTCAGGATGTTCACACGTAACAACAGACTCGATTACCAACTGTTCTTTAACACTAGGGGAGCTTTTAGACCTGTTGGCTGGAACGGGCTGATTGTGATCCTATGCTTCTTTGATGTTTTGGTGATCCTCGTGAAGAAAGAATCTCTGTCTGTTATGGGGCTTCTATTGATGGTAGCAGTACTTGCAACTGGCCGGTTCCTGTCAGGGCTGAAACTGCACATATGGAATCCGCTACGCCGGGCCACATCACTATGGAGTCCCTTGGTTGCAATCCTACTGACAGCTCCCCCTCTGTCAGATCGTGTTAATCACTACCTATATTATGGTGATCCAGTATTGCGACCCATCGGATGGACAGACCCGTCGACCGGTTGGATAGTGTTCACAGTACTACTTGTGCCAATGCTATTGGTAACAATAAGCAGGCTACGGTTTACAAGAATCATCAAACTAGTGGACAGAACTCTTGGCAGCAAAAAAGTATTTTGGCGTCGGGTTATTATAAACTTGTGCATGATTGCTGTGCTAGGGATACAGATGTACATGCTACGCCAAGATCCATTCGTGGACTTTTTTGCAATCATGATAGTCCAAGTGTGTGCTATAGCGGTGGTGTCATTTGGCAACTTCCAGATTCCAGCAGCAGTGCTACGTATCGTGCTAGCAATCTTAAGCCTTCAGAATATACCTGAGTATGCAGGTAACGAAAAGAACCTCAAAGCATCTCTCAGAATCTTTTATGGGATGGTGCTTGGACAAGGAATCTTTTATGCTGTGGCTTGTATGCTCGAGTTCTTCTCATTCATCCCTCGGAGATTCCTTCTCCATCGTGGCGGGTTTGGAGGTTACTGGGGAGTGGAATCTGTAAATCTCTACTATGCATATGCATCGGAGAAATGCATGCAAGAGGGTGTGCTTGCTCCAAAGAAGATCAGCCTGAGCAACTTTGCCATGGATTCTCTAAACTCCGATTCACCCAAGAATCAGCTCTACGGTATTCGTCTGATACACAACTTTCTGCAATGGGAACCAACCAGAGCACAGCTCCTACCAAAACTCACCACTTCTACCAATACCGTGGCCAGAATAATCAGGATGTTGGATTGGACAAGCCCAAAGGATACAACTATCAGATTATATGCAGCGAAGGTCACTGCTGAACTTGCAAAGGACCTCCGTGTTGTCGCTTTCCCCGGTACGATGCAGCTTGTATCTGCACTTCTTAATGCTGATAGCAGACCCAAAAGAGGAAATCCGCTTCTGGACACAGATGATGAACAAGAAGAACAAGATCAAATTCTGGAAGATGGCCAAGAGCAAGAACATCATACAGTAAGGGTTGTAGCTGATAACCAAGGGCAAAGACGAGAACGACTTGAAGACACCGATAACCTGCTTGAGGAAACACAAACTCGCTCGACCCAACAAGCTTGCAACGACAAGCCGAATTCTTACATACTCAGATGCTGGCAGTGGATTTTAGAATTACGTTCGGTCCCCAAGGAGCAGCTATCGACAGACCATGATCTTCTCCCTGCACTGGCCATGTCAATTATTGAAAGTCTTGCTGGTTGTGATCAGGAAAACTGTGTGGAAATCAGCAATGCAGCTAACCTCATCCCGAAGATCATAGGATTCACAAGATTCAGACATGCCATGAACACTGTCGATACCGAAACACAACAAAAGTTTCTGCTTAAGTCATCACTGGCAGTGCTGCAAAGACTCACAAGCATTGGCGGGGAAATCGGCATAACACTGCGGTACAAGATATCAAAACATCCCTTCCTATTGAGAAACCTTGCAGAAACCTTAGAATGCAACAGGAGCAGCCAGGAATTGAGAAAGTTGGTGGCAGGAATCCTCAGGAACATTGCCATTGATGGGAACACAAGGCAGGACATTGGTCGCATTCAACTGATCATCAGCAGGCTGATGCAGATATTTCTCAATGGAGAAGGAACCATGAGTACCAATGCTGATCACTTATCACGGAAGGTCACCGGGCAAGCACTGGCAATGCTCACAACAGAAAGTGTCCAAAATTGCTTGATTGTGTTGAAGGAACCAGAGTTCATTAAGAAACTCAAACCTATGATGTTGATCCATGGTGACAAGTACATATATGTGGCAGCAAGCCTGTTGCGCAACCTGTGCCTACACGCTCAACCCGAGCTCAGAGAGCCGGACCTGAAGGAACTATCTCATACCTTGAGAGAGGTGAGCCCTGTTAATACAAGCAGCGACTGCACTATTAGAGGTGGCTAATGAAGTTTACTATTTATACTTGTTCTTGTGTGTAAAGTTGTTGTTGGAAGTTTGACATGCAATTTTTTACTTCTGCATGTATATTTATCACTGAATAATAAAGTATAGTCGCACAATATATTGTCACTAATGACGATACATTTCACTACAGGTGTTGGAAAAAATAATTGACGTGGAAGGGGCAGAACTAGAGATCCTCATTGGCCTTAGTTCACAGATTTGTAAAATCATCCCTGAAGATTTTACCCAGGAACTAGAGGGCGGTCAGATTAAGCAGAGATTCGTGAAGAGGCTCATTGTTGCGTTGAATGCAAACATGGAACCTACCGCTCATTGTCCTGGGATAAGAAGGGTGATACTTGAGCAAGTCATTAACATGGTGGAGTGCAATTATCACTATGCAGACTATTTCAACGAATTCAGGATGACGGAAGCCCTATCAGTGGTAGAACAAACACTGTCAAAGGCTGAGGACTACAAACTCTTCTTGGGTGATGCAGGTTTCATGGAGTACAGCACCCCTATCTCCGCTCTTGTGGCAAGAGCAAAAGAGCTTATGTATCGTGACTGACTACGATTTAACTGTAGGTGGTAAGACTTCAGAACAAACTTGTATTCTCATCTGATACAGTTGTAGGAGATTCTCCACCTACAATTGTAGTGAATTGTACATTGCAGTATGATAAGGGACAACGTGGATTAAGATTTGATAGCAAGAATGCAGGTCTGAGGACAAAAGAACTATCTTGGCTTTAGACTCACAAGGTGCTGACATAGTTGTAGAGATTTCATATCTGTAATCTGAACCTGAGATAAAAAAAAAAGTGAATGTATGTACTACCTTTTATAATGAAAAATACTTTCGTTTGCAGTGGGAACAGATGATTTTTTATTATTATGCATAATCAAATGGTTCTATCTGTCAATAGTTAATCTACATAACTGTTTTGCCAGATATTGCTACAGGGAAATTCTCATAAAGTTGGTGCCAATGCACTGAATGGTTGTGTTGTCCAATGTGTACAAGAAAATATAGGATTATGCATCTAGGTTAGGACAACACAATTGAAAAGAGGGAGATAGTGTGATGTTACTGCACAGATAATGAAACAATTCTTGCTATTAATAAGTCTGCTTCATCTGGACAGGGCAAGATCTGTGACTGTGCCCAGGTGGCGATATCCGATAGTCCCTGACAATAGTAGCACGAAAGAATGGTTATGAATACTTTTCAATCTGTTTTGCGGTGCATGGTCCCAATGTTGCAATACGCGCCTAAAATGTCCAAGTCTGATGGGGTGATGGTCTACATTATTCAGTATGACATTGACCAGTTGAGACTCGCTCAAGAAGTACCGAATTCTGTACAGATACTAAAGAAAATGCAAGTTTGTCCTGCTAATCAGCCAGCTAATGATGATATTATCTAAGTTTAGTCACGGATGGTAAGCCTATAGTCCTATACTAAACGATTGTACTCCCTCCGTCCCATAATATAAGATCGTTTTGCAAACTTACAACTAACAACAGAATCCGCACAGCAACATTGTAAAATCCACCCACGACGCGACTGGCCATTTAATACTACCGTAGTCAGTAGCAATGCCCAGAAACCACTATTTTTTGCTTCTCGGATCAAACCCCGCTGCCGATTTGAGCACAGAGGGTGCCCAACAGCCGATGCGAACCCTAGAGTTTGGCAATAAAATGGCCCTAACCTCTCGAGGGGTGCCGGAGGCCGGAGCTCCGGCAGATCTCAGGCGAGCGCGGCCGATGGCCAGGGGGAGAGGGGAGCGGAAGGTAAAGGCACCTGCGTAGGTGGGATGTTGGAGATCCCCGCCGAGCTGATCGCCCCCATGGCGCGGAGGCGGAAGCGAGGCACCTTCGCCTGCTCCTTTCCGGTCGCCGGTTACGCTATTGTTTTTTCATTTAAGAAAAGACACCATAAAGGCGTCTTAACACATGTTTATACTAGTGTAATTATTTATTTATTTTTGATTGAACACAGAAGTACATAGCACTCATATTTTTTTGAAAAACTTACCATCCACTCATCAACTGTCAATACACACGGGGAGCGGAGCGCCGTTGCTTGTCGTTGCTTGTCGTTATTGTCTTTTTTCCTTTTTTGAGAAATTGTCGTTATTGTTTTTCTTTTTGAGAAATTGTTTTTATTGTTTGTGTAATGGCATAATGATTTTTTAAATTCCGATATATTTATCTTCAATCAGGCAGTACAACAAACACCATAAAAAATAAAAAATTACATCCATATTCGTAGACCATTTAACGACGACTACAAATACTGAACCGAGCCGCAGGCGCGACACCGGCATCGGCCCTCCATCACCGGAGCTAAGCAAAACTTGTTGTAGTAGATAGTCGGGAAGTCGTTGTACCAGCGCATCAGAACAACAACCGTCATTGGTAAAGAGTAGCGTATATCAAAAGGATTCAACATAAAGACACACGAGCATAGACGAATGAAAAATAGATCTGACAGATCCACCAAAGACAGATCCGCTGAAGACAACCTCCACACGCCCATCGACGAGGCTAAATTTGACCCTAGTTTGAAAAAAAATCGAGATCTGACCCTTTTGCTACCGCCAGGGACCATGGCGGTAGGCTCAGGTCCCTGGCGGTAGGGTTGCATGTCCTATCGCCAAAAACCTCCTAAGTATTGAACACAGTGCGTGCTCGTGCCTACCGCCAAGCACCTTGGCGGTAGGGGTGTGCAGGCTACCGCCAGCCCGGTTGGTGGTAGCGATGTTTCCTACCGCCAATGTCCCTGGCGGTAGGCTGTTAGACCCTACCGCCATGGATTCTGGCGGTAGCAAAAGGGTCAGATCTCGAATTTTTTTCAAACTATGGTCAAATCTCGAATAGGTTTCAGAAAAGGGCCAAAACGCGAAAATTTCCCACCGACGATGCTAGACGCACCGCTGAAACGGATCTTCAAGGGTGACGTCCTCGACTCACCTTTCCGAGGACACAAACCCTAATAAAACTCAAAGAAACATCTAAAAGCGGAGCCCTCCCGCCGGTAAGAGACAGGATCCACCACGCTCCATGGCCCTAAGGCCACCAGAGATGAGGCGGACCAGCGGCAACACCGATGAAAGGCAGAGGAACCATAATCTTTTTTTAGGAGCCAGGGCATAATGATTTCCTAACATCAATTTTTTGTACAATAGCATCACCACTTGTTTGGTTGCAAATTCTTTTTGGGGAAGTATACCAGATCAATTTAAATTGGTTGACTTTTTGGACAAAATTAAAGGAACAACAATATATGTAGTTGATTGGCCCCATGAGAAAAGGCTAACTCCATGTTTGATCGCTCAGCGGAAAAAAGGTCGCCCCACGTTGCCTTAGCCTTGGGCGAGTCAGGCGCAGCTAGCACTCCTCGCACCATCGTCCTTACTTTCCCCCTCTTCTTGTTGCACCGTCGCTGGAGGACGTCGTCAGCTGAAGCCAGGGCGACCGACATCGCCGGAGGGGAGGGGGGTCTCCGCGTCCTATGGGGCAACACGTTCGGGCGATGAATCAGAGCGCGTTGGGGCTCGGGATCACAGCGACCAGGGCTGAGCTCACGTCCTCATGTGGGCTCGGTGGCGCGTGGCAACTTAGGGTTTTGTCTGGGGATGACAGGCGCGGTGTTGTGGACAGATCCACGCAGGCGTGTGACGGTTAGGTTCCATGACGATGTTGGCGGATGTAGGTTGCAGAGGGGCGAGTGCAAGTGGTCGGGTGTGGTGGTGCCCTGGAAGCGCTGGGGTCCTCTCCTTCACCTTTGGTCCATGTCAGCGGTCTGAGACAAAGGTTAGATTGATGTTGGGCAGCCGCAACTTAGGCGTCGTCCACGGTCTACCAAACGTGGTTGCCCTATATCAGACTTGGACAGCTTGGTGGTGGTGATCCAGATCCGGCCGACCGTGTGGTGGTGGCTGCAGACTGTGCTGTAGCGACCTCCCGCGGCTCCACGATGGCGGTGGTCACCGAAAGGTCTTTGGAAGGGCTCGTCTCTCCAGATCTGATGGCGGACCACGGTGGTGTGATGCAAACTATGGATGAAGCCTTGACGTGGAGGGATGGTTGTGCAGCGACCGCAATCACACATCGCATATAGCTGGTGGGATCGTGGAAAAGTGGTGACAACAACGCATGAGTGACTTTGATGGTGCTATGTGCATTCGGTCTGGAGCTCCTGCATGAAAACCTATCTCAGATCTGAGTTGGTTATACCTAGCAACAATGACATTTTTTGCGTTTTTACGTTGTTGAAAGCATTGCTCGGTATGCTCATACCGATTCTTCAGTATGAATACCTAGATTCTTGTCTTGATGGTTAGATCATGTGAAGGTGGCGTTTGAGCATTGCTCCTTTTCTAAAGGCATTGTTGTTGAAGAACTTCATCGTTTGTGTGGTGTCATAAAATGGTTGATGTGAATATGGTCATTTCTAAAGTTTGCTGATGATGGATCTGATCACTTTAAAAAAATTCTTTTTCTTCGCCTATGCATAGCTTTGTGAAGGTCTCTTCATTTTTGCTACTCCCATCGGTCCTCTTTACTATGCATATAAGACTTGTCTGGAGTCAAACTTCATAAACTTTGACATATTTATGTTAAAAAGTATTAACATCTATAATATTAAATTTATTCAATATGAAAATTAAATTCATGGTGCATTTAATGATATTGATTTTGTATTGTGAATGTTAATATTTTTCATAAAGTTGATCAAACTTTATGAAGTTTGATTTTAGACAAATCTTATATGCATAGTAAAAAAGACTTGAGGGAGTATGTCGGTCACCTTTCTAATCATATACTACCTCTGTTTCTAATGTGTAAGAAATTTTGACAATTTAAATTAAACTGTCAAAACGTCTTATCCTATATCCTATATACCTAAGAGATTGATCCCCACTAACCTAATTATCTTAACATGCAAGCATGCCACATCACCATACAATTATAGATGGGATAAGTCCCACCATAACATGCAACCATGCATGATAAAGACCCAGCACCACATGCAATCATGCATAGGAAAGTAAATATCATTCTATTGTTCAACTTATATTCAATAAATATTTTATCACATATAATAAGTCATATGCATTTTTAATTTTTGTTCATGTGTTGTTAATCTAAAAATTTATATTCCACACAATCTAATCTTATTGAAGTATATTGCAACCAATTCCCGCAGCAACGTGCGGGGCATCATCTAGTATCTAAAAACACACGGTGTACATAAATAGTTGAACTCTTTGATTTCTGTCTTCTCTGCTGTTTAGGAAGCTTCCCTCTTTGGCTTTCCCTTAGTTTTCTATAGGTATTCTTTCTAATTTCAGTGACAAAGGCAAACCTATTTTTAAACACAGCTGGTTTGAAACGGGACCTTGCGCCATTTGGCACAACGAGTTTAATTATTAAAAGGGTTGTTAGTATTACCAAATTGCCAAGCCGGTTTGAAACGGGGCCTTGCGCCATTTGGCGCAATAGGTAATCTAGTTTTGCATATATAATCAGACAGACAGTCATTCGCCACTGAGAAGG